TTGACTTGATCATCGGAGGAATCACCGGAGAACCTAACTTCGGTCCTCTAACATGTTCATTCTGCAGCTCTCCTATCTTAAAATAGGGGATCAGTCACCTAAGGGGATGAGGGAACCCACATCGTCCGTTTTGACCCGAAGCCACGTCGCTAACTCGAAATTGTCTACTAATATTGCTGCTAAGTCTTAGGACATCAACACTAACAATAAATATTTGTTTGCCTGGATACTCAAATACAATTTGAGCTAGTTTAGTATTGCTTTTTAAGGGTGTTTCTATATTTTTTGAGAAACATTCAATAACGATGTTTGGTAAGAAATTTTTTGCGTGCTTATTAAAATTATTTTCTAATAAGATGCTTTTAGAAGCAATCTGATGATATTTTTAAAAGTAGCTTTTGATTTTTGTGAGTTCTATACCATATATACCCATTAGATTTTGACAAATTTTCTTACTATCAATAAATATGAATCTAAAATTCTGAGTATTTTGGTTATTACCACTTATAATGATCCTTAAGCAAAGTTTACCAAACAACTTATATGCCTTTGGAAGCACCTTTTAATGTATGATTATGAACCAGCTATTCTTAGCAACTTATATAAGTTTGCTTCTATAAACTGTTCACATGAACAGCTTTATATAAACTCCAGCAGTATCAAATTGTTGAGTACGAAAACCCAATTCCGAACAAAGAATTCACATTAGAGTAGTGCTAAATAAGCTACTAATTTTCATATCATGATAGTATATAACTGTTCACCTTTAAAAAAGAAATTACTTTTAGACCAACAATATGCCACAAGTGAAATGTGTCGTTGAATAATTATTGATGTGCAATTCCATGAAAAAAAATAAATTGCACAGATGATGGTTCCAAGCTTTCTTCTATATATCTTAGGTTTAGTAAAAATTAAAAATACTCTTTTTCAAAAGCCAAAAATAAAAATGCATGGACTATATGAGCGTAATTCACAGGGAATAACTTTGTATACTTATATATTTTAATAAGACTAGTCGTATAGGTAGAGATTAAAGAAGAATATTTGTAATATAATTCATGTATACTTAATTGGTTCACAATTAATTCATTTAAATTTAGAATGATCATTCTTTTTTATTGGGATAGAGAGAGACAGAAGGGGATTTGGTGGCAATCACGTGGTGGGGGACTAGAGGAGTTTGTTACAGCTGTTTTAAAAGGAACATGGTCAAAGGTGACAGGTTGGATCAGATCAAAATTTTCTGACCAATACTTTCTAATACCAATGCACCTCCAGCTTTCTTCGCTGTATTCGTTATGCTTGTATTATATATATATAGAGAGAAATGAGTATGCTTGGTACCAAGCATAAAAAATTATGCTTGGTAGTAAGGTAGCATAATCTCTTACACTCATTCAAATGGTTGCATATCCCCATGCACTGCTCAACTCATGTGAATGTGGTTCCCCATTTAAATGAGTGGAGGGGATTGTGCCACCTCACTACCAAGCAAAAAATTTATGCTTGGTACCAAGCATACCCATATTTCTCATATATATAGAGAGAGAGAGAGAGAGAAATGTGTATGCTTCGTAGTGAGGTGACATATTCCTCTCCACTCATTGAAATCGGGGTCCACATTCACATGGGTTGGAGAGTAGTTGAAAATTAAAATGAGTGGATGAGAATATGATAACTCACTACCAATCATAAATTTTGTGCTTGGTACCAAGCATACCCATTTTTCTCTGGCAGCGTAGGAAATTTCCTACGCTGTCATCATGTATCAAGGTCTTATTCGCTGGACCCTCATTTATAGACGTAACAGATTTTCGAATGGTTAAATTTATATGAAATGAGGGACCTAGATGTAAAAGAGCAAATCTCCCCATGTTTCTCCTGCATTTCCTAATTTATTCCACAAAATCTCACGCTTCTTTGCTTTCTCATCTTCCCCAAAATCGATCTTCAGGAAACGCCTTCGCCAATCTTCAGGAGACGCTGCCGCAGATCTTCAGGAAACCTTCGCCGATTCTCTCCATTAATTCCTTTGCACTCTTTAATCTAGCTTGAGCTTGCTCCATTGCCTCTTTCATAGCAGCAGCAGAAGCTGCAGTGGCTGAACTAGCGTCTACCTCCATGCTAAGGAAACTAGTGGAACTGTCCCTGGGAACCCCTTGAACAACATGGCTTTTTGATGCACCAATTTTGTAGCTTATGTGATGTCTCTTGATACTTTCTTGCTTACTAACAACTTTGGGGAGTAGTTTTGAAGGTGATGGCAATCTAGATGGTTCTGTTTGGAGGTTGATGTCAGATGTACTTGCATAAGTACCAGCAGGATAAGGTATATCTCCACTAGAAGCTGAATGATTGCTAGAAGAGCGTGAATGATGCTTTGTGTTCACATGATCAACTTCAAAAGCAGCATACCCAGTCCTATACTCCTCATGTGTTCTCAAGTTAGCTACATCACTCTCTATGTTATCAGTAGAAGAAGTAAATGGAACTACTATTGGTTCTAAAACACTCGATTGCCCATTATAACGCACATTATAGGTGAGATCATTGGTTTGAATATTTGAGGAAATACCCCCTCTTACATCCTGTGATGAACATGAATTAACCGTATAAGTATACCCAGGATGAGTTACGTGTGTTTCCCCACTTATTACATCCTCTATACTACTATGGTTCGTCTTACGATACGACATACTAAAATGCTTTGAGCCATCATCTGAATGGTTAGAGTTTGATGAAGTACTATCCTTCTCAGACAAATCCACGTAATCTTTATCAGTACCCTCAAGTAAGAGATTTGAAACTTCTACGTGCTGCTCAAATTTTGCGTCCATTTGGACACTATCAAAAGTGTATAAGAGGTAAGAGTTCATACAAACACACGCAAAATAAAATCAGCAAGTCCTTGAGTAATTCCACATATAATGCAACAAAATAGAATAATAATTAGAAAAGTTAACCTCCTGAATAGTAAGAAAATGTGCCCCATAATACCGATTAATATTTTCATGAGGTAAGAATCTGGTGTGTGTATGGAGTACAATATCATTAGCTATCATTTAGGCATAAGAAAAAGGACCAAAATATTTAAGTGGAGAAGTAAAATGACCTTAAGATGTGGATAATGCAACATGGAAAAAGAAAAACGTGTAGCAGCATCAAGAAATTCTCCTTTCACAACACAATCAGAAGACTAACTCGTCAATTAACAGGGAATGATCATTTAAAGCAAATACCGTACCCAGCAACATATGGTTTAAAGGGGACTAAGGACATTAAAAAGGAAGAAAATGAAGTAAAAGAGGGTGGAAAAGGGTTGAGAAATGACCGAAGTTAGGATGTGCACTTAGTTAAATAAGTTGAACAACATTATCAAATCACTAGGTCAACTGTAATGATCTTTCCCTCTCTGGGCTCCATAATTACCAGTGACAATAATAGTACCTGGTAAGCCCAATACTGAAGCTTCCATGACTTCCTAAAATTTGCAAAAGTAGCATATACTTTATGAATTTTACTGCAGGATCAATAATCAAAAATAACATTTGATTGTGGAGGAATGAACTTGGATTACATAATACATCACCACAAAATGGCAAAAAGCACCTCAAAATTTTCTTCATCTCCCTCACTCCTCTCTCTCAGAGGTTGCAAGAGTTTCACTAGCTTTTGAGAATGATGACAAGGTAAATTTCAACAAATATGTGTCAACCTTTTGTTCAAAAGCAGCAAGTCTTAACTATTCTAGGTGAAGGGGGATAGTAAATAGCAGTTGAATCAAAGAGGGCTGGAGAAAATCATTTCGAGTTTTTGTAGTGATCGTAGTGAAGAACATTACTTAAATCAATAAGCCTAACATGATAAAATCCCTCTTTCTTGGTCATTTATTAAGGCTATCGAATTTCCAGAGGCAACCCAATGTATCTAGAAACATCCAAGAATACATGGGTTGTTGAGGCCTTTTGGCCTCCCATTATACTAAAATACAGCTCCAGTTAGCTCAAATTGTTGGACCCACTTTTTATTTTATTTTATTTGACAAAAAATATCACTTTCTTCTAAATACCACTCTTCAAATTGTTGCGAAGGCGTATCCTAAAGATCGATTTTGGGGAAGATGAGAAAGCAAGCAAGCGTGGGATTTTGTGGAATAAATTAGGAATGGCAAGAGAAATATGGGGATATTTGCTCTTTTACATCTGGGTGCCTCATTTCTTATAAATTTAACCCTTCGAAAATATGTTACTTCTATAAATAGGGGTCCAGCGAATAAGAACTTGACACATGGCGAC